GATAGGGAACCCAAGGTTGAGTAAGGATATTGTTGATGTGTTGATGAGATTGTTAACCATTGTCGTAGGGCAACATCTGTAGTAACTGTTAACTGAGAAACTATTTTGTTCTGTAAGCCTTCATCTTAAGTGAGAATAACAGCACAATTGGAAGAGCATAGTTAATGTCACTGAACTGTGCTTGTAGAAATTTTTGAAATGATCTATCTTTGGCTACGTGTATTTTCACCAAAAAAAAAAAAAGATTGAGAAGTTAGAGGGTTGATATGTTGTGGGGTTGTTAACCAATGTTATAAAACAACATGTGTACTACTGTTTCACGAGAAACTATTTGTTCTGTAAGCCTTCACCTGAAGTATAATTAAAAATAAATAAATAAATAAATAAATAAAAATCTTTTGCAAAGCTCACAGAGATGGATAGAATACAGTACACATAGCAAGTTCTTACTAAATACTTGTTGCTTATATGCAAGATGGGTATCAAAATAGGTCCAGAGATACATGTCGACTGCAGTCCTTACCTAGGTTAGAGGAATATTCTTGGTGAAAGATAAAAACCACATCAAGAAATTGAAGAAATCCTGCAATATTGACTATTTTACATGTGTCACCAATGACTCGATTTAACCTGACAACTCGTTTGACTCAAATTTTTCAAATAATGATTGAAAACGCATCCACCAAATCCCATAATGAATAAATTGTCATTGCATTTTAAGATTAGAAAACTAATATAAAAAACTATTTAGCAGCACTTTAATAATTAGAATACATATATTTGGAATTTCCAAAGAGATGTCACAAGATAGAAACAGGAACACAATGGAGAAACATTGAATATAAATTTCTAGATGAAACCATTTTGTCCTACTAATGGCAAAATTATTGACAGGATCCAAACACATGAGGCAACTATGTCATCCTCTCAACAAGGATGATGAGAAACCAGGTCTGAAGACAAAACTGGCTTAGACGTTACCAAAGTGCCCTTTCCAAGTGTTGGGAAAAGGACTTATAAATCAGAAGTGGAGGAATCTCATTTCTCCAAAATGCAAAAAAAAAAAGCTTTTGATAGAAGGAAAAAGTAGAGATATTTCACTCCTCCAAACCTTAGGTGAGTGTAGTTTTGATTCTTTGTACAGAGGCCCCAGTGTGTACCACAACATAGACATCCAAGTCAAGAAGTGTTTGCTGTTCCAGCCCAGAAGAGATGCCCATAGTTAGATGTTAATCCCAGACACATGTTTGTCATTAAACTTAATCTTGAAAAGAGTTCTTACTTACTTGCCAGAATATGCTGTCAATTGTGTTCCCAAGAAAACCATCGCGACCTTCTGAAGACACCAGCTTGGGGCCAAGAATGGTCATGAACTCATCGAAATCCACCTGGCCATCCCCTGGAAGGACAAGATAAAAACATGAGTTGAAAAGTAGCTGAATTTGACCTACTGTCCCCAGTACAGTATCTCTATGCTTTCCTCCTTGGCATGAAACCTCAATAAACGAAGAAGACCTGGTAGCTACTGAAAAGTGTGCAACAGGCTTAGAAAACCCAAAGTACCATAGGAAATTGGTGATTATTAGCACATCCAATCCCACATACTTCTAAACAACTGCCAACATTTCTATCTAAATGTTCACCCAGCATGTCCCACTGAACCTGGCCACACCTCACACCTGTTCCTCCTCCTGTACCTCACACTGTCCTGATAGAAATCTCAGGTTTATCAATACCTCATCCTTCACCTTTGTTATGCACACATAAAGTTAGTCCTCAAGTCTTACTGATTTCACCTTTTACGTACCTCTGGATGCTATATCTTTCTCATCGTCCCCACTGCTACTGCCCTTTATAGAGAACATGGTGTCATAGTGAACATGGTGGCAAAACACTTTGAAGAATTAATGTTACTAAGACTAGTAGAATGGCTTTCTACCCAGCCTCCCCTACTGCCCTCACACTCTCACCTCCAATCTATCTTCCATACTGTTCTCAGAGTTTACTTCCCAAAAAGTACTCTGATCATGTTTTATAACCTTCAATGGCATGCTATCTCTGACAGAAACTATAGCACTCAAGTCCCACTCTCTTTTGCCCCCCACCTCTGCACAAAATGCCACCCACTTCCACAGCTCCATGCCTATGTGTACACAGTTCCCTCCACCCGGGGTGATTTCCCCCACCTGTCTATCTGGCAAACTCCAACTTGTTCTCTAAGATCGAGCTTGAGTATCATGTTCTCTTTTCTTTTTGTTCCTGATCCTTCTTCCTGTCATTAGGCAGAACTGGTCAAACTTTCTTCCGTCTCTCATATCACTTTTATATGCATCTGTGTGCTGGGTGGCCAGAAGGTTTGTGCTCAAGTACTAACCTAAAGTTGGCGGTTCAAACACAACCAGCAGTGCCATAAAAGAAAGCCTGGCAATCTGCTTCCATAAAGATTACAGTCAAGAAAACCATAAGGAAAAGATCTCCTCTGCAACATATGGGGTCGCCATGAGTCAGAATGACCTCGAAGGCAACAAGTTTGGTTCTTTGGTCATGGACCTTATCACCCATATCCCAGTCACTGATTTACCTGTCTATCTCACACCAGGATTATTAACTTTGCAAGGACAGGGACCCAGTCTAAAACTTCTTTGTATTTTCAGCACCAAACACAGGGCCTGGCCTATAGGTACTCAGTAAGTACTTAAGGAAAGAATAAGCAGCATTTCTTGCTTATTTTTCTTTATTCATTTCAGCGCTGGTTGGATCTTTCATGCTAGAGCTGACACCAGCCAGAAGGTGGACTTGAGTAGCCTGAGACCTTGATGGTGCAATGGATCATTTTTGTGTGGCCTTTCTCACCATGGTCTTGTAACTCCCATCCAAGTGATTAAGCGGGACTGTGTGATAGGGTAATTGTGGCCCACCAAAGGAATGGGTGAGTTTTCCATTCTGCTGGGCTTGAAATGAGCCACCCCAGAGGCAGGAAAGAGAGGATCCCACCACCGCCAAGGAAGAACAGTCAGGAGCCAGCACGTCATTTGGACCTGGGATCCTTGTGCTGAGAAGCTCCTGGAACCAGGAGACAGAGAAAGAGAGCTGTAACCCTGAAGGCAGTGAGAAGTGGCAGCAGAGACCTGACAGTAGAGACCAGGCAGCAGGTGAAGGTGTGGTGGGCTTCCTGGCCCAAGGAGAGAGAAAGCTGAGTGCCTTTGAGCAGAGGCTTAGGGCCGGGGAGAGGTGTGCCTGCAAGCATGGCAGGGAAGAGACTGCCCTGATGGAAGAACTGTATCCTGAGCGTTCCTGAACCTGAACTGTAATCTGTTACTTCCCTAATAAACCCCATAATTGTGAGCATTGTCCATGAGTTCTGTGTGGCCATTGCAATGAATTATTGAACCCAGCAGAGAAGTAGAGAACGCCATGGGAGGCACGGTTGGTATTGGAATCGGTAAAGATGGCAGAGAGAGGAGACAGTCTGACCTCTGCCTCATAGGAATCAGACTTGGGCTGTTATCTTGATTCTCCTTCTCCCTTGTGAAGTTAGAGGAGGTCAGACACCGCCCCCATGCTGTTTTTACAACCTTCAAGGCATTTCCCCAGCCTAAATGAATCTGCAACATGGCATTCTGTACCCTTAGAATTGCTCAAGGGACTGTCTCCAACAAGAGCTCACCACATCATTGTCTTAGCCCAGCCAGGGAAGGCAGCCCAGGTGTCCCCACACAAGAGTTTGTCCAAGTGCAGCTTCATATAGCAATGTTCTCAGAGTGTGATCAACTTCAAAGAACAGTCATTCAAAATCTATTTTAAAAGATCATGCAGATGTCATCATCAAGACGTCAATAATTCTGAACAGAGGGCTGAGGAACAGACCCCAGTATGGATAGAAACTTTCTACAGGACAAAGGAGGCACGCAAGTCACTGGAGAAGGGAAGACGGAGTCACCGAATGGCCTGGGGCAATTGGTCAACTACTGAGAGGAAATCAATTTCTCTCTCACCATGCCGCAAGATAAAGAAGATATCCCAAAGTTCACCCTCACTGGTAATCATAAGTGTGTCAATCCAAGCAACAATGAATTACCATCTTGCCTTTCAAACCATCAAATAATTCTATGCAATGTTGGCAGAGGCAGGGGAGATAGGCTCTTTTATACATTCCCGGTGGAAATACAAATTGGTGCACTGGTACTGGTTATCAGCTGGCAGTACTTACCAAGATGTTGAAAACACTGGTTCCTTCTGACCTAATGACTTCACATTTAAGGAAGACAAAACAAGGAAATTATCTTAAATGCAGACGAAGATGTTTGCCTAAAGATTGTTGGTTGCCTTTGAGCCCGCTTGGACTCATGGTGACCCCATGTACAACAGAATGAAACATGGGCCATGTTCACAATTGTTGCTATGCCTGATTTGTTGCAGCCACTGTGTATTCTGAGTGCCTTCCAACCTAAGGGGCTCATCTTCCTGCAACGGGTTTTTATTTTGTTTATAGATCAAATTATGCAGTTTGATCTCACATATAGATTCACATAACCACAACCACCATCAAGATACAGAACTGTTGCATCACCACAAAAAAGCTTTCTCTGCTACCCTTTTAGCACTATATCAGACAGTTTTATTCTGTTGTGATTTATAGGGTTTTCACTGACTAATTTATGGAAGTAGATTGCAGGCCTTTCTTCCTAGTCTGTCTTAGTCTCGAAGCTTCACTGAAACCTGTCCATCATGGGTGACCCTGCTAGTATTTGAGAAATATCAGTGACATAGCTTCCAGCATCATAGCAACATGCAAGCCACCACAATAGGACAAACAGACAGACGGGAAGTGGATGCCTAAAGACAGTCATCGAGTATTCGTAAAAGTGAAAAATTGGAAGGTGGGTAAGAGGGATATGGCCCAATCTTCCCGACATTTGACATCTCCAAAAAGCTAGCTCCATGTGGCTCTAAGTCTCACACAGATACGCTTGTCATGTACATGAGCGAACCCTCTGCCCATCCCAAATCACCTCTGCTAGTCATAGTAGGGGCTGGATGGCCAAGAAAGTCTCAGACTAGAACATGGATTCTCAACAAAGACCACATCATTCCCAGTGGGGAGGAAGCTGATTCTCAGGGGACAAAAATGAATCTTAGATAGTGCAATGGCTTGTGGCTCTCCTCTTGTTGTGCGCCTTTGAGTCAATTTTCAATTCATAGCAACCCCATGTGACAGAGTCGAACTGCCCCATAGTGTTTCCTACGCTGTAATCTTTACAGGAGCAGATCACCAGGTCTTTCGCCTATGGAGCCACCGAGTGGGTTCAAATCACAAACTTTTCAGTTAGCAGCCAAGCGCTTAACCGTTTGCACCACCAGGGAGGGCTCCTTGTGGTTCTCTTAGGGCCACAGATACACAATCTATCAGAGACATTAAACTTTCATGAAGAGGGGGCTGGGAACTTGGGGAAAAATGCCTTAAATTCTCCTGGGGGTGACTATAGAGGAAGAATAAGGAAAGAAGAAAGGAGAAGGACAGGGAAGAGAGAAAGAAGGAGAGGAGAAGGAAGAAGAAGATTGAGAAACACTGGACTAGAAGGTGTCCCAGGCACTCTGGCTCTTGTCCCCCAGGCCCTGGAATGTTGATTTATTAGCAGTGGGCTTCCTCCTGACTATCTGTTACCACAGTGAGGTCTAACACTCACAAAGGTTCAAGGGCATGGGTCAGGTTTTACTAGGACCTCATGTGGCTTTAACTAAAATGTGTCCATTAAATGTGGGCATAGTTTAAATTCAGGAAAGGTGTGCATCAGGGTTGTATCCTTTCACCATACTTAGTCTGTATGCTGAGCAAATAATCCGAGAAACTGGACTATATGAAGAAGAATGAAGCATCTGGAGTAGAGGAAGACTCATTAACAACCTGTGATACGTAGATGACACAACCTGGCTTGCTGAAAGTGAAAGAGACTTGAAGCACTTACTGATAAAGATCAAAGACTACAGCCTTCAGTATGGATTACACCTCAACATAAAGAAAACAAATATCCTCACAACTGGACCAATAAGCAACACCATGATAAATGGAGAAAATATTGCAGTTGTCAAAGATTTCATTTTACTTGGATCCACAATCAACACCCATGGAAGTAGCAGTCAAGAAATCAAGTGACATATTGCATATGCTGCAAAAGACCACTTTAAAGTGTGATAAAGCAAAGCTGTCACTTTGAGGACTAAGGTGTGCCTGACCCAAGCCATGGTATTTTCAATCGTCTCATACACATGTGAAAGCTGGACAATGAATAAGGAAGACGGAAGAAGAATTGATGCCTTTGATTGTGGGGACCATGGTCTTGGGGAACATCTAGCTCAACTGGCATAACACAATTTATAAAGACAATATTCCACATGCTA